ATTTTTATAGTATTCAGAAATGATATTTTGTATATCTGTGGTATCAGTTATAATATCTCCTTTTTATTTTATGATTGAGCTTATTAGGGTCCTTTCTTTTCTGTTTCTGATTAATCTAGCAAGAGGCCTATTTTGTTTCTTAATAATTCAGGAACATCACTTGAAAATAACTTCCTTGTATGGGATCTATAAAGCATAAATTAAATAAGTGACTTTAACCAAATAACTATAAAATCCATCACAAAATCTGGAACTTTCATATGGGGCTTCCTAGGACTTCAGTTCAGACCCTTTATCATTGTGGCATTGCATGAGTGAAAGTCTTCTTTCTTTCCAAAGAGAAGACACTGTGCACTGAAGAGATGAAATGCTAGCTCACTAGTCCATCCACATATAATTTCACATGGCTCAGAAATGTTTCTGTGCACTGCAACTACTGCAGCCAGTTGTAGTAGCAACAGTAGTAGTAGTGGTAGTAACATCTAACATTTATTGAGTGCTTTTATCTGCCAGGAACTGAGATAAGCATGTTGTATGTATTATTCATTTAATCTGTACAAAAGCCCTACAATGTAGGTATCATAATTAACCTTATTTTATAGATAGGGACACCAAGGCACTGTGAGGTTACCTGCCCAAGGTCACACACTTCATAGGTGTGCACCTAATCAGTGTGGCTCCAAAGCCCACTCTCATAACCTCACAGCCAGTCTACCCTGTAATAGGAACGATACTAAAATATATCATCATAATTATGCATATTCAGTTTTTTCAAATACATATTTTAGAATGTTGCTACTTCTAAACAAAAACCTTGTAAACATAGAGCTGTTAGCCAACAACCTTCACTTCCCACTGTTTATAATAGCAAGCAACATTTTAACTTGAAAAACCACACTCTGGTTTTTGCTCTACTTATCTTGAAAGATCTTCACATAACATCACTGTGGTTAAAGTTCATTTTTAAAATGTGATCTATTTACTTGTACATGGATATGTGGATTGAAAAATGATAATAGGATGAATGCGATAGTTCCCAAGCCATCGAGAATTTTTTTCCCTCCCTCCCTCTTACCCTTCCTTCTTTCCTTCCTTTTTTTTAGTTAGCAAAAAAAAAAAAAAAAAAAAAGAGAGAGAGAGAGAGAGAGAAAGAGAGAGAAAGAATAGAGTATGTTACTGGAAAAGGACCCTCTTTCATTTTAAAAATCAGATTTTACACTTCTCATGTCACAGACATAACTCTTCTTGACTCACACTCATACACACGAGTCCCAGTTATGGTAGGTTATTGTCCTCACATTAGATTCCTCAGTGAGGCTACAGGGAGGAGATGTGAGGGACGACGGCAGCAAGAGTTAAAGTAGATCACTTGGGCATGTCTTAAAGAAGCATTCTGGAAATTAACTAACTAACTAACTCTCTGCTACAGGAAGTGTCAGTTACTACTGGTTCTATAAGACTGGTTAACTGGAAGATAGACAGCCTCCGGCTGGGTGGCTCTCAGCCAGAGAGGTGCCATGCATCAGGGAAGATTTGGGGATGTGCAGAGTTGGTTTTGGTCAATGTGTCAAGGTGTTCCTGGAATTTAGTGGGTAGGGCCTGGAATGTTGAGGATCCTGCTACACTTGGAACATTCCTGCACAAAGAGGAACTGTGTTGCCCAAGCTGCTAGTAGTACCTTAGATGAGGTGCACTACAAGTTGATAAAACTCCTTCAGAAATGAGGGAAATATATAACTTAAAAGGAGTCCCGTGGATTCCAGCTTTCTCTGGGAATCACAGCACCTATTCAGGGGGCTGACGCTTGAAGGCAGTCATCTGTTGGCTACTTTCTTTTCTCAGGCAAAATGCCAAATAGAATCTTCTCTGTGAGTTAATCATATTTAGTCACTCTAGTCAGTGAAGATATTTCCAAATTGTCCTAACTTTGTGGGAGTTTTCTTCTCATTATGGGAGGAAATAATTGGGGCATTATTTTATGGCCCTACTTATTCTTGGTAATATTAATATAAAATAAATCCTATTATACATAATTCCAAGGGATTTTTCAGATTATTTTACTAGTTCAAATAAAAGGGCTACCCTGACACATGGAGCAGAGGATGTAGGCTGAAATGCACTCTAAAGTAACGGGCCTATGGCACCCACCTAGTGCAGGATGACATAAGGACATGATATGGCTAAGAGAACAAAAAAACACTTAGGGAAGAAAAAATTAACATCATATCATGCTCCTGCTCAAAAGCCTATCTATTCTCTATTGCTTTTCAAATGGAATCCAAATTTCCCTGGTGACATCTGGATTCTTTGCAATCTGGACTGATCTTACCAATTCAAAGGGATCACGCTACACCTTTCACAGACGGCTCTTCAAGGGGTCAGGCTTCCACTCTCCCCTTGCAGCCCTGCTTCTGCACCTCTGCCCAGGCTTCCCTTTCCCCGAGGGTGCTGCCGCCTCCCCACCTCAACAGCAAAATCCACGTAGACTTCCTTCTCTCCCTCCACTTTCCAAAACCCTGGCCATCTTTCTAGACCCAGCTTATTCCTTCTCAAGCAGACTCTCTCCACGTTACTAGCACAACAATGTCTGACTCGGGTGGTGCAAAGGCAATTTATGTAACCAAAGCGTTTGTACCCCTATAATATTCTGAAATAAAAAAAAGAAAAAAAAAGTGTTGCAAAACATACCCAGAGAAGGGGAATTAAAACGAATCAGGGGAAATTTGGGTCTCAGAACAAGGAGTGAGAAAATGCATGAAGCATCTTTTATAAGGCTATGGCAGGATGAGAATGGGGGTCATACAATCTCAAAAGATGTGGAAAGTTGATATGAATTTGTTCACTAAATACTCTTAAGGAATTGGAAGAGCCAATTTTAGGATCACTAAAAAAAGGTATGATTTTGTATATCATGCCACAGGCAGTACGCAGATGAGATTTGTAACAAGTAGTAGAGCTGAAATACTGTTTCTCCACAGGGAAATAGATGTGTTCATGAGTGAAAGTGCCATTGAAAGTTATGAGGGGAAATAAGGGATGTTTGAGCTGAATGGCTAACCTCATACGGCTGACATCAGTGGAGCATATCATGACCTTCAACACGCATTTTTTGGGGATCACTCTGAGAAACTGAAATTTAGATTGATAAATTGTGTTTCTGAACTTATAGTTTATTGTTGTTGCTGTTAATGACCTTACTATTTTGTAAAAACGTTTCATAGGCCCATTCTAAGAGATTCAAAAAAATTTGGGTGTTTTTTCAATACAGGCTCTCAGATATTATAAAAAAAAGTCATGTTTTGAATTCCTATAATTTTATGCTTGGTTGGTTTATGTTATATCATTCTCTTATAATTCCTGCATGAGAAAAGTATCATGCAAACAGGAGTGGAATTTGCTTGAGAGCAACAACGGAATTTGGTAATCATTTTTCTCTCTCCCATGGAAGCTTACCCTACTGGTCTCAGTAGCAGGTGCTCATTCTTGAATAGTAGTCCTAATATCCATCATTTCTATAGCACTTCCTATGTATTATATACCATGCCAAGTGTTTTACATGCATGAACTAACTTAATCCTCACAATCACCCTTTGAACAGAAATGACTGTTATCCCTGTTTAACAGATGAGAAAGCCAGGGTTAGGAGAAAGCTAAGGTTGAGTAGCTAGTGGGTGGTGGACTAGAGATTCAGTCCCATGACTTTCTGATTTTAGAGCCGTGTTCTTGAATGCTATAATCATATTTCATGATTGTATAGGCTTAGTGTCTTGACAGCTACTAGCTTGTTAGAAATCAATTTCAATTAATGCTAATACAGGTAGAATTAACATAAGAAAGGATCAGCAATTTAGAACAAAAATATTTAGGCACAAAGAAAGGTATTTAAGTCTGGATAGTTTCATTTGCAGACATAGGAAGGAGACTACAAAAGGTAATTTGTTATCACTGAGAAGTCGGGAGAAATGTATCTTTGACCACCTGCATTTTACCGAAGTGAAAGTACTTTTATCTTAAACTCAGCAAACCCTTTGTAGTCCAATAAACAAGTGGCAGGAGCCAAATAGGAAGACTTTGTGTTGTTAAACTGGCATCTGAGAGGGTTGTAGCAATTTGCCGCAGTCTGAAAGGGAGTTGGTGTCAGCCTTTGCCTTCCTTAGCCCTTGCCATTAAAGACCTGCGACTCGCCATGGTGGAGGCACATTTAGTATGTGTGCTTGGCTACTGTGTGATCTCTGAGTTGCAGTTCTTCCTTTCTTCTGCTGGGTTGGTCCAGTCTCTCTGAGTTTTGTATTCGGTTTCTCCAACTCACACACTGTTTTCCTGATGGAACTGGCACATAACCTTTTGCATATGCTATCATTTTCACTGCATACCATGATTAGAGTACAATGAATATGTCAGCACGTGGCTGGAGATCATGGTCTTGGTTAGTCCTCCGTGGCAGGAGGGCTCCTGTTCTCCATACTCTTCAACCATAGGCTAGGGTCATTACGTGGCTGGAATGATCTGAAACCCTAAAACTGCCACCCAACCAGCTTTAACTGTTGCCTACCTCTAAGCCTTCTGTTATAGATCCAAAGTAGTCCCATAGTCCTGAGACCTGCTTCCTCTGTGCCTGAGCTTGCTACCCACCCTTTGGGTATTGCAGGCTGGCCTTTCTGATCTGATGTGATTACCAGCTTAGCTTCTCCATACTCTATTCTGGCCTGGCCAAGTCCACCTTCTTTCTCTTCCCTGCTAGCCCACATTAGAAATGTCACAGTATGCTTGGAACCTGATCCCACATGAATTAGGGCACCTTTGGATAATACTCACAGGAATTTTATAGTCTGAATAATTTGAAATCAGGTCTTGAATAAAAGGATGCTTCAAGAGAATAGCAACTTCAATTGGCTCCAGGTTCTTAGCACCCAGGTCCTGAAATGTTTTTATGAAGCCCTTTAAAGAAGAAAAAAATGAAGTTAATCAACTTTACAATCCTGCAGATGTTAAAAAATGGTTTTACTTACTGAAGGAATTCATTAGAATTTCTATACAGTGATACATTTTAAGAGCAGTTCCATGAAAAGATGCTCAAAATTGAAGGTAACTTTCCTGATGTATAGGTTATCTCTTTTACAAAGTAATCTAACCAACCTCTGCGTAAATGTTCTCTAGTTTTAGGTGGCTGCCAAATCTGTTAGCATCCTGTGCTTCACTTCCTCCTCTGAACACTTTGAGTAGCGTTTCCAGGGAAATCTTTTCACTGTTGGCATTTTCAGGGATTTCTTCTTCCTTTTGTTCCCTTTCCTCTTTTAATTCCCTTTCCTCTCTTTCAACATTTTCCTCAAGTTCAGGAAATTCTTCAATAGGACTAATACCAGTAGAGGAGGAGGTCTGAAAAATGACATGAGAGAACATAAAGTCAGATTGAAGTCTTTTCAGCAATAGAGACAGTTAGAATACATCAATTTGATAATCAGACAGTTTTCACGAAATGGAATGATAGTGCCTACCACAAACTAGCTAAACAAAGTTTAGAAGAGAATATGCTAGCTGCTCTGGAAATCACATCAAAATCCTACACTGATTTTGCTTGTAGTGTACAGAGATTTGCAGTGTACAATGTGGAGTGTGTCCTGTTCATCTCCATACTCAACACTTGGGCCTACTACATTGCCAGGTTCGTCACATTTCTCAATAAATGGACACTGGAATGAATTAGATTAACTGGTGTCAGACTTCTACACATGGATATAAACTTTTAACAGGATTTGCTTTTGAATTGATTGCAGTTGACAGGTTATAGCAAGTTAATTTCTCAAGCTTGATAGATTCTAAGAGCTTCAGGAACATATCTTTGGATACTGGAGGATATCCCAACTAAACACTCAGAAGGCAAAAGAGAAAACAAATTGAGTATAGAAAATTAGGCTGGGATTCTTACTGTGGCTCTTTGAAACTTGGCCAAGAGCCATGAACTGAGGCGCTCACATGTTGACTATGGCAAAGAGTAAATGGCTTCTGAAGTAATTTCTTATGTATCAAAAGCCTAAGAAATATTCCTACACTTTGATCCAGTAATTATAGAGCTAGGAGTTGATCCTGAAGAAATATGCATGTGCACAAATATCTTTGGATATGAGTGTTCATTTAGCATTACATCAAAAATTTTAAAAAAGACCCTATGATTCCAAAAGTAGGGGAATGGTGACATAAATTATACTTCTATTATGGAACACTATACTGCTGTGAAAATCATGGTTTAGAAGAATACCTAATAACATGAGAAAACACTCATAGTAGAGTAAGTGCAAAAGTAAAACAGAAAACAAAGTATTAAATACAATAGGATCCTCCTTTATGTATCTATACTTATTAATGAAAATAAGGAAAACAGATACCTTAAACTGATTTAACAGTGGTGATCTCTTGGTAGTGAAAAAGATGATTTCCTTTCCCCTTAGCTTGCACTTTCTACATTCTCTACAGTAAGTGTGTGTATGTGTGTGTGTGTGTGTGTGTGTGTGTGTGTGTGTGTTTCTGATGATGAGATAGTCAATATTTGATGGTTTGCTACTGGGAATGGGCATTTTGGAGTGTTGGCTGGCCAGATGTCAGGGAACACCCGAATTCTGATTCTCCTTTATCCCAAAGAAGAAAAAAATGCTAATTGAGGAGGGTACCAATTCTATAAATATTCAATTTAGTAGAAGTGTTAAGTGCATAGATAGTGCACGTTTTTCCCAAATAATCATGTAAGTTCCATATATAAAAGGATCATGACAGGACAAGATTATGTCTCTGGTAGTCGTATGTTCCTATAAGGGATTTTGGAGTACTGAAGGCAGGCTGCATTTGCTCTAGCTCTGTGTGGTCACCTTGCTTTAGCTGGGTTTCTATAGCCTTTGCTAAATTGGGAGTTTAATCTAATCTTTAAAAAAGAAACAGAGAGGAAAAGAGAGAGAGAGAATGCTCTAAAAGGTAAAGATTTTAGAATTAAGTATAAATACACACACACATATGTAATTTTTTTCAGCCTATTCTCCAGTTTAAACAATTGGAAATTCTGCGTGGCAGAAATGTGAAACTGGCTTTAGTGTTACCACCTAGGAATCTTAGAGATTACTGCATTAGCTACCCATCGACAATTTCTTAGGACAACAGAACGTTTAATATAGTGAAATGAGCATGGTTGGGATGTAAAACATCTTGCCGAGCGAGTGAAGGATGAATGAATTTCTATTCAGGGTGTAGCGTAGATGCTGTGTGCACACAATAGAGAGAACCTGTGGGCAAGAGAATGACTAGCGGGTTAGATGATCAGGTGATACCAAAATTTAACTAAGAAGGAACCTGGCCTCTCTGTAACTATTTCCATAATTAGGGAGGAACTTATTTTCAAAGGCCTGATGTAAGCATAATGGGATAGATGATTTTTTAAAAATTTAAATGGTAGCAATTTAAACATTTGAAATGTTAGAGTGAAGGATCCTTAACTTATTAATGTCAGAGGATGCTTTTTAAATTTTTGCTGTTTTTCTCTCTAGGGGGTTGGGACAGAATAAGCTTTGTGGCCCAGTGGGAGGGGAGGGGGAAAGGAGAGGGGCCAAGACTGGCCCGAAGAAGCTGTTGTGGGAGCGTTGTCAGCGTTGTGGGAGGAGAGAGGGTGTGCAAGAGAATGTGGTTTTCTCAAGCAGAGACTCTGGAAGACAGCGATATTGAATGTAGGCGCAGGAACAAAACCAGTGAGGCCAGTTTGGAGAAAAGCCAGTGCTTTTGAATGAGCAATTATTAATGGCATCAAAGCTCTGTGTGAGTCACATTTTCATCTGAGCAGGGGACCAGATTGTGGCACCATCGAGCACTATGTCCTGCTTGGCTAACTCTCAAAGGTAGCCCTCAAGGAGGACTTCCAACAAATGTGTCCCCATAACAGCGCCTGTGCATGTTCCTGACCATGCATTTCTATCATTCAGTCAGCTCCGTCCCACATCGTGGAAGGCAGAACAGAGGTCAGTTCTTTGGACTAATATGAGCAAAGCATCAAAGAGCAGAATGGAATAGAGATGTATGTGTTTTGAACCCCAGGGCTTCAAACACTCCTGTCAAGATGCTTTTACAATGTAGAAGATTCAAGCTCACAATTCGCTATATTCCAACATCACAACCCCGTGCCACACAGGTAGCAGAATGAATGAACCATTTTCCCAAATGTCACTTATTTAAAGATCCACTAGAACTAGTACGTTACTGATGAATGCCTTGCTCTTGAGCTTCTCTTAAAGCTGTGGCTTTAGACAGAAGGTCTGAGCCATACTGAACAAAATCAGCGTGAATAGCAGAAATAGAGTAAGGAAAAATGAAATCCCAGGGGGACTTCTAGTTGTTTATGTAGAATGCAAAGCAGAGATATGATTGAATGTCTTGGGAGTGAACATGGATTTGTTGGAGGTGTTATTTCTGTGCAGGCTCATTATGGCTTCCTGGGACGAGGTTGCCCAGGAAACTGGAACACAGTTGGAAAGGGCACAGAAATGGAGTGGCGTAATTGGAGACAGGATGGTGAGGACGAGGGGTGAGTGAGAATGAGGGAGGTAGGCGGCTTCTGTGTTTCAAAAGCTTCTAGAGTTCACCCCAAGTCAAGAACAGGCCTGTGTGTGAGAGAGCCCTCTGCTCCTTCCCTGGCCTCACCCTCCATCCACGAGTTTGGTCTCTATTGCGCAGTGTTCTTGGTTGAGTTCCTGCACAGTGTCCTTGGATTTTAAAAGAGCTCTTGAGAGCAGCACTCAAGGGGAGCTGCTTCCCGGGCGGGAACACTAGCATATGGCGAATGATGGGCTCAGGGACAGAAGGGATGCAGCAGCTTCCTGTGCTGGCTGGCCTAGCTGCCAGCCACTGAGGCAGCTGTCTGTTGCTATGGCAACCACTCCAGTACAAGCTTCCTTTTTCTTGGTCTTTCCTGCTCATTGCAGCCTCCTGGACTCTGCTACTGCCCGTGCCTGCCTGGGCTGTCTGCCTCCTCCTCTCTACCGTGGAGACTGAACTCCACTCCTTTCACTCTACCTCTCTCCCCTTCTCCCTGCTTCCTGGCCATGTTCACAAACATTAATTGAGCACTTGCTATAATATAGCAGCTACTTCAGGGAACATAAAGATGGGTAACAATGTGTCCCAAACTCAAGGTAGGAATCATTTAGCAGTAGGATTCAACAGATTAACAGACCCCTGCCTCAACGACTGGGTCTCCTTCCTTCTCTCCTTTCCCCTCTACAGTCTGTTCTCAACACAGCAGAGAGGTCCTGACATATTTAAGGCAGGTGACTACACTCTTACAATGACCTCTCATCTGGTGCAGAGTTAAAGCTCAGGTTGCCATGGTGGCCCTCAGAGTCCTCCCCCACTCACTTCCCTTCCTTACTGCTGTCCGCCAGCTCAGTCCTCTCCACGCGTGCTGGCTAGCCCCGGTTCCGGGAACACGCCAGGCATGGCCCCACTTTGGGGTTTTTGCATTCACTGTTGTCCTCGCTGCAAATGCTCATGTCCTAGAGATCTGCAATCTCCCTCACCTTCTACAGGCCTCTGTTTACCTGTCTCTTCACAGAGAGACCTTCTCTGGCCACCCTATTTAACATTGCAACTCACACCTCGACTCTTGTACTTTCCCCTGCATCTTGTATCCCATAGCATCTATCTCCATTTGATGTAGTCTATAGTTTGCTTGTTTGTTGGCTGTCTTCACCTGCCTGGAATGCTTTTTGTTCACTGCTGTACCCTCAAGTCAAGAATGGTCCCCAGCACGCACAGATGCTCAATTAATGTTTGTGGAAACAATGAACGTGTGCATGTGAAGGTGCTCTGTCCAGCCAGAGAAGTTCTGAATATAAGTCGGGCTCAGCTGGGAATGCTCAGTGTATTCAGGGGAAGCTTCATGAATGATCTGGCAGTTGCTGTAGCCCTTGGATAATGAGGAGAGAGAGATGAGATGAAGGATACTCCAGGTGGAGAGAATAGCAAGAGCGGAGGCAGGGAGGTGGGAAAGAACAAAGCGTAAATACCATGTCTGGTTGCCAAGGCTCTATGTTAATCTGTCTTTTATTCCGTGTTCCCTGCCTGTTTGGAACATCACTTCTCTAATTCTTTTCTGCATAGATGGGGCCAATTAGGCAGAGGGCCCTCAGGAGAGCAAATTTGGCTTCTTCTGTATCCGTCCCAGATCGTAGAACTATGCAAGGGGCATTATTTATAAAGCTAATATCTTAATTTATCAATCTGCTCAATGCAATGTTTACTGAGCTCCGTGGCAGGCCTTGAGTAAGTTCAGGGATGCAAAACAAGACAGACGCCTTCTTTCCACCAAATGTCCTCTCCCCAGGGTGCTTAGAGTTCAGAGAGGAAGCAGACCTTGAGGAGGTCATTGCCATGTGGAGAATACCATGTAGGGGAAGCACAGTGCACCGTGGGAACATTTAGCAGGGGTCTGACATCATCTGAGGTCACGGAAAGTTTCCCTGTGGACAGACATTTGATGAGACCTCACAGCAGGCTATGATCCAGGCTCAGATCATAGATCCAGAGTTAGGTCAAGGAGCCCCAGTCTGCAGGGGGACACAGAGACATCCCTGGGAAAGTGGCAAATGCAGTTCCTGTGAATGCAGACCATACCTAACTCCTTAGTTATTTGGGAAATTTTAAACTATTCTATTGTGAAAGAAGATAGCATTCTATAGAATAGAAATAGACACTGTTTGCTAAACTTTCTGCCACTGTGTCAAGTGTTGAACCAGTATGTACAACACACCGGTTTGAAGAACTCCACATTTTTAGGTTACTAGGCATCTCTCTGGCCTTGCTCTGGCCCTGGTAGAAGAGGAAGGAAATTGTCCTCTCCACATGTTCAGGCCCATACTTTAGGATTGTGCCTAAGAGAGTATATCTTGTCACTCCCCCAAATGCTGTCACAAGAAGCTCTCATGTCTTTCAAACTACATCTATTTTGACAAAAATGTGAAGGGATGAATGCGTCGTGGGGATATCTGAGCAGTCTGGACTGAGCAGCTGCCTCTCCCATCTGTGTCCACAAAGAGAGAACAGAAACAAGCCTCCCATCAGGGCGAGGGCCACAGCTCTGCCCGCAAAAGAATAGAATAAAAAGTCATACAAATGCCATGCAAAGGGCATCCCAGAGGTACATTAGCTAGCACCCTGCCACAGACTATTCCACTCCAAATGACAAATAGACTGGGTTGATGTCCACTTCTGTTTCATTTATCAGAATCAGCAGTTCATGCAAGATATAGGCTGTCCTTTACAGAGCAAATTTTGATTCTACCAAAAAACCTGGAACAAATTTTGATTTTACTACAAAAGTGTTCAATGGAAATTGGTACCCTGGTTCTTAATTCAATTCGGTAAGGCTTTGTTGAAGACCTACTATGTGTAAAGCATTGTGGTAGGCACCTGGGGAAAATGGGAGATGAAAAGAACAGAGTCCCTGTTTCAAGAGTTTAGGATCTTCAGGCATCCCCCTCCAGACTCCAAAGTTAGTCCTTTTCTGGAATGTGATTACCTTTTCTGCAATCAGAACAGGAGTTTCAACTTCTTGGAAGACGTGACTCCCAATGGCCACACTGAGGGCCCTGTAGACCCCTTCCACACTGTCTGGGTGACAAGCAAAATAAAGCAGCATCTCTGTGTAGTCAAGCTGGGGTGGATCCTTCTCATAGTCAGCAAAAATCCTAAAGAAAAACTGTCACGCAAAAAAGAATTTCAACCAAAGATAACAATGGGTACATTCTGGTAGTCAGTAGGTAGACATGGCAATGAAGAATCCCTCCAGGAGCTTTGGAATAAGGTGATCTTCTCAGGATTGAATTAATAAAGCTACCATGTAATGAATGATATTAACTGGAGAGGATGCTAAGTAAAAAAGCAGAAAATGTAGGGTTCTAAATTCTAACATAAAATAAATTGGGTGCTAATCGATGGTGGTAACATATTCAGAAAATAGTGTACCAATTAAAGGTAGTGGGGACTATGCATTAAGTAGGAAAAGGGAGCCACAAAACCATGTGTGTGTCCTCAGCATTATTCAGACAAACCAAGCCCTGATCCTAAGTATGAGACCTCTGGTCCATCCCTCTCCATGGGCAGTGAAAGGAGGGAAAGGGAGCAATGCCCAAAGCCACTGGGATTCTAGCCATTACAACCTCTAAACTGGTTCACTGGCACTGAACTTCCTACTCAACCTCCTGACCATAAGTGACTTCTTCCAATGTGGATTCACATCTGGAGAGAGAGTGTGCTAACCACCAAGTATCAATCAATGTGTTTGGCAATTCTCTCATTCTGAATGGCTGAGCTGACATTCACACATTGTCTTGTGCATGTGGCAGCACGAGGACGTAGTGCCTGGGAGCCTAATATCCTCTGAGGCTCTGCCAAGCCAAGGCCCAAACCCTGGGACACACTGGGCACACTGAAACACCTATATAGCCTCATTTGGGGAGCCTGCTAACTTCCTTGACCAGCTCTTCTTAAATGTGTACTTGATGACCTGCAAAATATTTTTAAAATGTAGATTCTGATTAAGTAGGTGGTTCTAGAGCCATCTCAGGTTCTGCATGTTTGGCAAGCTCCCAGGTGCTTCTGATGTTGCTGGTTCTGGTCCACACTTTGAGAAGCAAATTTCTAGATCCAGAGAGTATTTCCACCATGCTATTCTTTGTTACTAACCACCCTTACAACTGTGAACAAATTAGGCACACGTGAAGATAACAGTTGGAAAAATAATTTTTGATATTTGACAAATCCAATGCAAATTTAAATAAACATAACTTTGATAGGAAAATGTGTAAAATCTGTTATGCTACAAAGCAGAAAAGAATCTTAGAGGTCAGTGGGATCTACAAGTTCTTTTATTCAGCCACCCTTTCAGAAACATTTACTGAGTGTCTGCTGTAAGCCAGGCACCGAGCCAGGCTGAGACATTTAAGAACACTCTTTGACAATAAGGTATCCCTTGATTTTTTAGAAGTCATGATCCAGCTGGTGGGTTCCTTCAGGCTATTGTATTTTCTTCTTCCCACCTGCCTTTGAGTTATTTCAGGGACTGCCAGTAGGACTAGAAGGAGGCAGGGGACTGACTACTCAACAACCATGGCATTATCCCTGGGTGCTTAGCTTCCATTTCTTCTGCATGAAGAGCTTTCCTTTAGTATTATTTCCATTGAGTTGCTCTTATAAATGATACGTAGGTACAAATCATCATATTTCCACTAGCAAATAAACTGAACAATATATATTAAAAGAAGATATGCAAAAAAAAAATAAGTTGATAGATGGACTCTTTCTGTAATTAAACAGACTTGATTTTAAATCAATGGATTGGGCATTCAGAAAAGGTAGTGGTGGTTATATTCTTAAGATCACTTAAAATATTGTAGAAGGAAGAATTCCAAGAAGGGCTCAATGTTTTTCACCTCCTGTAGTATATACCTTATGTGATCCCCTGCTCTTAAGTATGGGCAGAACTTGTAAATATGATGGGAAACTCATTCCCTTGAGTGAGTTATCTTCTATGGCAAAGATAAAGGGATCTTCTGAGGTAATCAAGGTCCTTAATCAGTTGATTTTGAGTTGATACAAAGGAAGCCTGAATTTGGGCCTGACCTAATTAGGTGAGTCCTTTGAAAAAAGGACCACCCAGGCCTTAAGGGAGATAGTTAAAGCCAGAGAGATGCTCTTCTCCTGGCCATGAAGAAGCAAACTGTCATGTTCTGGAGATGGCCACGTGGCAGGGAATTACTGGTAGCTTCTAGTAGCTCAAGGTCTCAATCCTGCAACTGCACAGATTTGAATTCTGTCAACAACCCATCTTGAAAGCCAATCTTGGATCCAATCTTGGAATCAGCCTCAGCTGAGATTGCAACCCCAGCTGGAAGACCCTCAGCAAAGAACCCAACTAAGCAATTCCTGGACTTCTGACTTACAGAACTGTGACATAATAAATGGGTATTTTTTTTTAAGTCACTAAAGATGTGGTAATTGTTACATAGCATCAAAAATGAACACAAATGCTATTGTTTCATTCATTCACCTAGTACTTATTGAGCATCTAATGCACTACACATGGGCTTTTCATGGGCTTTTTTTTGGTTAAAATACAATCATTAGTAAGGAGATAGAGATCCCTGTCCTTCAGGAGCTTTCTTTCTCAAAGGGGAAGGCAGACAATAAAGAACAAATAAAATCAATTAAGTAAATCATATAGTGGTTATGGAAACACAGAAAGTAGGCCAAGGAAAGGGGAATTGTGAGTGAAGAGTGGGGAGGGGAAAGATGGCAGGATTGAGGTGAAATCTGAACAAAGATGTGGAGGAGGGCAGAGAGCTAGCCAGGGAGGCTTCCAGGGTGAGAGCAGGACAGGCAAAGGGAGCTTCTGAGGCCAATCTCCCGAGGTGGCAGCAGGCCCTGCGTGTTTGATCAACAATGAGTGGGCAAGGGGAAGAACAGCAGGAGGTGAAATGAGAGAGGTAATAGGGTCAGAACACACAAGGCCTGGTTGACCACATAAGGACCTTGGCTTTTCCAGAGCCACAGGAAGTTTTGAGCAGAGGCTGCTGTGATCTGCTTTGCAACCTGAGCAAAGACAAGGGAGAGACAGGGTGACCTATCTTGAGACTGGTGCAGCCGCCCAGGTGAAGTTGATTGTGTTCGATCCAGGTGACAGCAATGGGGCTAGGAAGAAGTGGTCTGATTCTGGATATATGTATTTTGAAGGTAGAACTATCAGGATTTCCTGAGGGATTGAAGGTAGTGTTTGAGAAGAGAGGAATTGAGGTTGACTTCTAGGGTTCTGACCTGAGTGACTAGGACAGAGTTGTCATTGACTGAGATGGAGAGGACTTTAAGTGAGCGTGGGAGGGGTGGAGTGGGGGGAACCAGAGATTAGGTACCCAGTGTGGACATGCTGAGTTTGAGATGTCTGCTAGAGTATTGAAGTGGAGATATCAAATCGGCAGTTGCGTCTAGGAGTCCAAAGTTCGGAAGAGAGGTTTGCAGTAGAAATAGACGTTTGGGATTTACTAGCAAGTGGCTGATATTTAAGCCTGGCTTTAACAAATATTAGCCAGTCTACAGGAATGGAAAGACGTCACATGCTGTCAAATGGACAGCAGCTGTGGAGAAGAGTTTAAGACAACACTTGTGGGTTTAAATATGACAAAATTACAGCACTTTTTCTCAGGAGAACCCTAAGGACTCTTGAACACTGGGTGCTGCAGGTGTGAGGAGTAGGGAAACCAGGGCCCAGCCTGCTGAGCCCTGCCAGTCACAAGAAAGTGCACTGTCGTCAGAAAACCATGAGATTGCAACATGAGATGCCTCAGGCATCCTTTTGTGGGTGCAGCTGGACCTTTTATCCCGTTGTTGGATCTCTGAGGTCACCCAAGCCCAAGATCAGTAGTAATGGCTTGTCTCCAGGAGCCCTGCCGGACATGGCTCAGAGGAAGGCCCTGGGTCACCGGGCATAGATGACAAAGCAGGGGAGCTGAGAGCCACCCTAAATTGCAGCCCCAGTCCTCTTTTTAAGAGGACACAGATGCCCTAGGAGATAAAGAGACCTGCCCAAGTTTCCACAGTGAGTTGTGGCAGAACTGGGAGCAGAGCCCAGGATTCCTGGCCCCCAGAGTTCCTTCTTACGGGGGACATTTTTCCCCTGATTTGGTCTTTCCTATTCTAATTACATCCAGAAAAGTAAACATCTTTTGTTTCTTTATTTTTCTCCTTGCCCATCTTTCTTTAGCATATTAGCCATTAACCACTATTTAACCATGTATAGTTAGCACGGTCAGCCTCTGTTTAACTAACATGTAGGGCTTACTATGTGCCAATCACTGTTGTAGGGGAACCACACATTCAAATTCACTCTGCACAACAGCCCCACCACAGAGGGATAAAAATTCCAAGGCACAGAGAGGCTGGGTCACGCCATGGAGACCTTGCAGCTTGTAAACAGTGGAATGTGTGCTTTTTTCCCAGTTTAAGAACATTGAGATTTATGTAACACTGGGCACCAAGTCCCTGAGGCACCAGGAGGAGGATGGAAAACACCACTCCTTTCACTGTTTCTGTACTATCGACATCTCACACACAGACACACACACAACCCTACCAGCGTCTTTTGCCTCATAAGGGCACTTTTTGCTCAGGCTCCACAGTCCTGCCTCTGTCCCCAACTTTGTTCCTTTCCTCCCTGTAATTTCCCAGCAGCGAGTGGGAGCCACACCTGTCCTTTTTACCAAAAGGTTCTTTCCTGTTTTGTTGCCAAGTGAATAGCTAAAAGGCTCTGCCCTCAATTGACATTTTTAAAAACTTCTGGCTGAAAATGAAAGTACTTTTCACTTGGCATGCTATTCAAACCTCCAATTTCTCCCCAAGTCCTGAAGAACCTGTTTATGTTGATGAAAATTTGTTCACAAAATCATAGAGAGACTGTTCAAAAGCTTTATAGGACAATCGATCTCAGTCCTCCAGTCTCATGTTAGAAACGAGGAGAACAAACAAAATACTGCCCCTGTAATTGCCAACTTCGTATCTTGGACTTTTTAGGTAACACCCTGACCCTTTCTTTTACCTTCTCTTCTGCTAGTATCTAGCAGAGGTGCTCAAAAAACATCATCCAATAGAAGGAAAGTGCTCAATTTAAGGTTATAACTGAAGTCATGTTCAATTTTGTATGCAATTTTGAACTACTGGCTGGCTAGAAATTGAACAATCAATATATTACACAGAGTTTGCTATGAGGTCTAAATCTGTCATTTACTTTTCCTCATCTATTACTGAATGTGGCTGCGTTAGGCCTGTTTTTATATTTTAAACATTTACACTAAAGTTAGAGTATTTTTCAGATTTTAAGATTCTGTTTTACATTGTGGCCTCAGGGAAAAGGCTAATAAAAATGTTATTAAAGATAATATTGAAAGAAGTGAGCTCTGATGAGCCATGGGCAGTGCTATATTCAAACCCTTGCTGAGTTAGTCAACACCAAAGAGAAATAGTCAAAAACATATATTGGTAAAATGACAGAATCATATGCTAAGCTTTTAGAATTGGAAGGGCGTTTAGAAACAAATGTGTTGAGTAACAACTTAGCTTATTTGAGAGATGAGAAAAGTGAATTACAAGAGGCCATGGGAATTGTCCAAGGTCACACAGAGAATTAATGGTAGGGCTCTGTCAAGATTTCAGTCCCTGCCTCCTCTCCAGGGCTTCTCTACACTGTCTCCTTAGTGAACATTAAAGTCTGCACTTTAAGATACAAAAAAGGAACTGAGAGGCAGAGACAAAGTCCAAAGCAAATTATATAAGTAGAAGAAAACACAAAGAAAATGACCAGTGCTATAATGCTATTTTTTTTTAAAGATCTCATTCATTACCTCTATGAGATGCTCCTGTCTATTAAATGGCAAGGGTTCAAGAGGATTTTCTGGAATTTTTATATCTTCATCTCCTGTAAACCACAGGCCAGCCTACACAAAAAAATAAAAATGAAAATCATTAAAGTATGTATTATTATGCAGAGATGTAATTGTTCCTCTAAAGACAACAGAGACTGAACCAATCGTGTTCCAGTTTCTACAGCAGTGATCTCCAAAATAGAGTGCAGACACCATGGGGGTCTAGGAAAAAAATACTAGAACTTCCACTTACATTACTCTTTATCTCATCCTTTTGTAATTTTTATTTTTACATGTTTGATAATATATATAATGTATTAGTGCCATAGTACAGCATGTAATTTATAAATAAAAGTCCACATATTAGAGGTGCCAGCTATATTTTAACTACTGGAGTGTGTGATGAAGCCTGGAGGTCATTACTCCAGATCAAGCTTGCATAAGCAATATTTTGTAGGGATCTGTGCTCCCATAACAATAGTTCCCATTCCTCATGTCTTGTTCTTATCCTATCCATTCTTGGAGCCTTGCTTAGTGCTAGGATACGTAGTTGGTGTTAGAAAAATCTTTTGCTGAGTAACTGAATGACTGGCCTCTTTTTTATGACATCCCTGTCTCTCAGGTCATACCCGATACAAATTACCAAATCCTCTTGGATTTGGCAGCTCTCGTTTTGCAGTGCCTCTCGCATCTCTCCCTTCCTTCCTCTCCCTTGCTACCACCCTGGTGTAGAGCCTCATTACCTCTGTCACAACCACTCTAGTAACCTCAAGCTGTTTTTGTTTCCAGTCTTTCTCTTATTTGCTTCAGTTTTTACTATGCAACCATTTCAATTTTTTCATACTTTTAATGTTGTCATATAGCATTCTCTGCTCAGAACCATTTTCTATTCTCATTTGTTTAGTCACATCATTCCTCCTTCCTTAGGTGATTTCTATTCTCCTTTCCTCCCAGATGAACCTACACATCTTTCCAGATCTGGTTCAGATCACACCTCTCCAGGGAGACCTTCTTGATCTCTCCTCTGAACTCCAATTTGACTTGTTTATTCCAAACATTTGGCATTTAGTTAATTCCTTTGAGTGTTGTCAGTCATGTTTGCTGTTAAACATTAGGTATAAAATCCTTGGATTCAAAGAATGTATCTTGCTAATCTTAAATTATATACAGAGTAAGTTCTTCATTTACATAATGATTTTGTTTCTAAGTCTTGCTCCCTTACCATCTTTAAGAGTGACAACCTATCCTTAGTACTGCCTACTGCCAAGAGGCATTGGCTTGCCTAACCTGACTCTGGCCTATGCTCTATGTCTTCCTTCCTTCCAAGAATCACATGTGCTTCGAGAGATGGCTGCAATGACATTGGATAGCTTATAAGGATGTGCAGCCCCTAGAGGTGAGGATTGAGTTTTCTTTCAATTTGGAATAAAAGAAATGCTGGTTATGTGGAAGCCTGTGAAGGAGAAGAACCAAAAGAAGCTTAACGCCCAGCATGGTACAAGCTTGGAACATAAGTGACTTCTGCACTGGCCAGGAGGAAATCCTTGCCCGATGGCTAATCTGTGGAGAGTAAGTACCATCTATGGGAGAAGAGAGAGATGAGGAACATAGGTAGATTTATGCTTCTGGCCATGATGGAGTAATAAACAGCAGAATTATCCTCCTGTCTTAAACAACAAGAAAAATGGATAACATATATGCAACAGGATTTTCCAGACATTAGACAATAGGCAACACAGGATAGTCATTCTTGAAAGAAGGAAAGTAAATGAGGGGACGTACTAGTATTCCAGCCTAGAGGACATTTTCAGCCTGAAGGGCCAGGAGGGGCTTCTGAGTAGAGCCTGGTGATACTACTGAAGTCAAGTTTTGTAGTTGAGGGAGTCCATGGTGGCTAGAGTTTGCAGCGCAGAGTACTAAAGTTGCAAACAGAAAGTAAGAGAGCTCTGGAGATGTGAAGAGGAGTCTCCTCAAGTCTTGACTGAGAGCTGATCTGTGGATGTGTATGTGGAAAATACCAGAGGTTACAGAAAGAGCCACTGGAAAGTAGTAAGGTCAACAACTCCTGGGATTCACATGGAGCTTGGATTAGTTCATGTTACCACCACCAGGGTGGAAGGACGTCCTAATACACAGGACATTAGGTAGAGAGCCCCCAGAAGGATATTACCTTAGTTAGTAATGGAGCCAGATTAGCCCTACACTAAAGGCTGCTCTGTACCCACCCTCGCAGTTCTTGATGTAATTTTGAAAGGATAAAACTGATTTCAAGTAACATCACTGTGTGCCTGACAATATTTAAAAGAATACAACAAAATTGGGCACTCAATAATATAACATTCACATCATCTGTCATCCAATACGAAATTACTAGGCATGCAAAAAGGACAGAAAATATGACCTATAGCCAGAAGAAACAACAATACAGAAATAAGACAGATGATAGAATGAATAGACAAGGACGTTAAATGTTATTCTAAATATATTTCATTTGTTCAAGGAAATAAAGAAAAACATACACAAAATGAGGAGATAAATGAAATGTATAACAGAAACCCAACTTAAACATCTAGAGATAAAAAAATACATCTGAAATGAAAAATAAGCTAGATGGTATTAATGGCAGACTCAACTCTGCAGAAGAAAACATCAGAGCACTTGAAGACACAGCAATAAAAATGAATGCAAAGTACATCACAGAGAGAACAAAGACAGGAAAAAATAAACAAAGAATCAGTGACCTGTGGGACAATATTAATAATCAAACATGTAATTAGATTTT